CAGAAAAACCACAGGAGGGATTTTCATGAAATTTGGTATGGTGATAGCTGGTTATCCGGGTCAACAAATAGGATACTTTTTACCGCGGGAAAATATTTCATTTTTGAGAAAAAATACAAAAACTGCAATGTAAGAGTATACTAATATGTAAACCCTAAGAATTTGGTTTTCGGTCATCTCAACGCGGGTGGAGCCCCAGGCAATGCTAGTATTCTATAAATTATCTAAATAATTTATATTAATTATTTTTAAAATATAGTCAATTGTTATAAAGTATCTATGTTTCTATGTATGTATAATATCTGCGTTTGTGTTAGTCTGTGGTAGATTCTGTATTAATTTTTAATTAAACTACTGGGCAGAAGTTAATAAAATGTTTAATAATGTTCGTTTTCAAGATACAACATATCCCTAGGCAAAAGAAAATAGTATTCTGAACACACTTTTCTTTTTCGAAAACTTCTACACTGATTTTTAACCGACTTCTTCAAAAATGCAGAGGTTCTCAATTCGGCTGTATGTTTATTACCTCAGAATTTCGTCATTTATAAACCGACTTGGATAATTTTGTTTTGTTTGAAAGTGTATACTTTCAAATACGTCCGATTTTAATTTGAATAAAATACCACCACCACCATACCATTGAATAAAAATAGGTAGTGAAAATTTAAACTACTCCTAGATACTTTGAGTTTGAGCTTATTTTGTTTGATTTGACAAGCCCGAAACTTCATATAAAAATTGGCATCAAACTTAAACGGCTTAAGCGAATAATTTAATAAAATATTTTCTTCTTACTTTGCTACTACTATATCTACACTAAAAACGGAAAAATAAAAACTTAAAAAATAAAGTTAAAATGACTTCAAAAAACACTAAAAAGTAAAAAGTAAAAAATAACTGATTGGTGGTTTTCAATTACCTACTACGAGTATATTTAGCTAATCAAATATTTTTGAAGTCGGTGTGCTTTGTTTGTCGGCTGGCATCGACTTCGAATATATAATAATAATTAATATATTGGATTAGGTATACGGTATGTATAGTAAATAAAAAAAACCAATCAATTATTTTTAACTTTTTAGTGTTTTTTTAAGTTGGTTTGTTTTTTGAAGTGTAAGTTTTGAAACTTGGTGTTAATTCTCTTCAATACAATAAAAAAATACGAATTGTAGAATTTTTCAATAAGGCGGAATTGTTTTCATTGTTAAAATTAGATTTTCAAGATAAAATTAAGGAATACATGTATCAATCAGATTCTTAACCTTCTGAATGTTGGCACACCTGTAACGAATAAGGCACCTAAGCTACGTAACGAGACTAGACTGCGATTTATCCAAACTTTATAGTGGCCACTGTGTTTGCTGGATGTGCTCGGGGGGAATCAGTATTCATACCTCGAATAGCAGTGATAACCTCTGACTTCGAATTTAATCCATTGTAGGTAATTCATCCCTTTAAAGTTTGCTTTGCAAAGACTATTAATAAATCTCTGGGCCAGTCAAAAGTAGCAGGGATAGACTTAAGAGAGGGTTGTTTCTCACATAAACGTTTTAGAAGAACCCAGAACCAGACAGAACATCCACCAATGTATACAAAAAAAGTTCTTAATTAAAATGTAACTTCTTACTCTCTACTTTTTTAGCGTATACTAAATTAAGTGAATCTAGAGTGATTACATACATGTAAACATAATATTACAAACTCGATATGAAAACATATAAATTCAATGGAAATTAAAACTGAAACTGAAAATAATATCATTTATAGTAAGTCTATACTCTGTTTTGTTTGTTTGTTTAGTTTTGGGCGATAAACTATGAAACTATTGAATTAATTTTAATCATTTATATACCAATAGCAGCTTTTGTTTAATTTATATTTGATTATTTAAATTACATAATAACTTTTCTTCGTGTTAATTTGTCGCGAAACATGGATGTGTTAGCGCTAGTTATTAATATTTTCCTAAACGAGTTTTAAAAGAAGATGTTGGGAAAAGTGAGAGTTCCAGAAGTACAAAATTAAGGTAAAAAAATAAATACATAAAAAAGTAAATAATTCTAAGCACATGTTTTTTTTTATTTCGGCTCGGCTATATATATGATTAAAGTCAATCTTTCAAGAAACAGTGTCAAAAAAATCTGAAAAAGTTGAGGTACCGAAAATTATTTAACAAAATATACATTTCGTATTTTATATTTTTATATTTTACAATTCCATATTTTAGTTACCCGCTTTGTTAGTTTAACAACCTTAAATCCTATCCATAAAATGTTAAAAAATAATATGAAACGACCTTATTTTTATGGTTGATAAAATGAGTATATTGTGGAAACGTTAATATTGTTCGTATTTATTTTACAGTTCACTTAGCAAAATATGTAAGAAAAACAATGCAGTATTTTGCTAAACGGAACCTATAAAGCGCGAATTAGACTTGCATTTGCCCAATTTTTACATTGAAAGATTTACAAACATTAACATTATTTAGTAAACAATAAAAATTTACAAATATTAAAAATTGTATCGGCTCACAAAATATTAGGTACCAATATGTTATTAATTTTGAAAACGGTCGGGGCCGAGGGTAATTTAGTAGTTAAGTTAGTAGTAGGTAAGTTAGTAGTTCTAATAAAATCGTAAAGACGTATGCACATTCAATTTTTTGGAATTAAAACTACGTATTTTAAAAACACATGGCGACATCTATTGTCGATTATCTAAATGACACATAAATAAGTATTTTTGGAGTTATTTTAATGAATAATATAGCGCTATTAATTTTTTTTTTCAAGATAAGCTTTTATAATAGTTTTTGCCATATTTGGTAAGTTACCTTGCTAAAATGTTCATAGTATCATCGTTTATTCTAACCAGTTTTTGTATTTTCTCTCAGAAATGAGATATTTTCCCGCAGTAAAGAGTATGTATCCTACATTTAGACCCGGATAACCAGCTATTACCATACCAAATTTTTTTAAATCCCTCTAGTGGTTTTTCTGTGATGCGGTCACAGACAGACAGATAAAAATTCTAAAAATTATGGGTTTGGCCTCTATATAATAAGGGGGTGAAAATGAAAGTTTATACTGGGAAGCAAGCTAGGGACGAACCCTACCCAAGCGAGGGTGAGTTGCTAATAGATAATAAAATAAAAACAAAGCAAAATCTGTACATGAAATATTTTTGAAAACAATGACTGTTACTTGTGTACAGAATACAGGGCCCAAAACAATACTTATTGCAAAATTTGTCTGTTTGTCGGTATATTTGTTTGTCTGTATAGCTTTGTGGTTTTCACGTAAAAGGTACTGAACTGATTTTAACTAAATTTTGTGGAGTTTAACTTATTACTTAGGTGAACATGTAGAATACCTTTTGCTACAGGAAATTGTTTCATTCCCACGGGAAAACACAATAACTGATTCTGTCGATTTGTCCTTAGAAATTTACAAAGCTAATGAGAAACCTTAAAGAAACACCAAAACAATATAAATAAATTGTAGATCTTAAAAAGCTTACAGCAAAGTCCACAATAGCATATGTCTGTTGTGTAAGGTACACTCGCAATAACTATTTTTATTTATTTTTAAAACGTTAGGTACGTAGGTACATAGTCAAGTCACTTGTATCAAATATTTGAGTGACTCGACGTAAGGTCTTAATAAAAAGTAGGTTCCTCAACCTTGCAAAGTCTATTCCAGTAAGATTACTTTTGATATTGTCAAAGGATTTACAAAAATAAAAAATCTATTAGTCTGATAGGTAATGGACAACGTGTTATATCAAAGTGCAAGTATAAAATATATGGTTTAAATATGAAAGAGGCACAAACAAACATGAAAGTGACAATTCAATGAAAAATTTAGCCTCAGTTTGAGAGACTATAATTGTTGCTGTAATTTTAACAGTGTCTGCAACTGCAATATTCGTAAATGGAAAAAATCTATACATATAACAAAATTGTAACTAACCCGAATCTGTACATTAAATATTTTTTGTAAAATCTTATTGAAATAAACATTATTATCGATATATAGGAAGAATCTATAGTTTTTAGAATTTTTGTCTGTCTGTTACCGCATCACAGAAAAGCCACTGGAGGAATTTTAATGAAATTTGGTATGGTGATAGCTGGTTATCCGGGTCAACATATAGGATACATTTTACCGCGGGAAAATGTCTCATTTCTGAGAAAAAATAACAAAAACTGCAATGTAAGAGTGTACTATATGTATAATGCTAGTATTATTTAAAAATATTTACGAATAACACCATCTTATTAATTAAGAGCAACAAAGGATGTAGTGTATGTATTGTAAATAATGTGTAATGTGTTATAAAACAGTCAAATAAAAATACACTAAGCGATTAAGATTTATTATATGTATGAAATGTTTGCTTACTTGATTAATTTTAATTAATTAATACAATAAATATTTTTTTTATTCTTTGAAGGTTTTCTAATAATAGCCACGATAAAAAATACAAAATTAATAAAATCTCGCTATAATATTTTATTATTAGGCCGGATATAATAAATTTCAAAATAAATATACTGGTATAGTATTATATGATTTGTGATAGATAATAAGACATAGATAGGTTAAGTTTAGCAAATAAATACTAACGGAATAAAAATGCCTAGTCAATTCCTAAATCGGGAACAAATATTTACAGATTAATTTATAAGTAAAATATCCGCATACGTTTTGTTAATTTCCATTTTCACTGCAGATATTTTAAAAAATCTTTCTATTGGATAACAATCTATCAAAGAAACAATTTTGTTTACTATTGTCAAGGAAACACCTGCGAAAAGCATTTTGTAGACATTTTGTGACGAAATATAAAATATATTTTGATGTAGACAACCTTCCAAACAAGTCTGTCGATATTTGAAACATCAGAAGTAAATACCCGCCAAATTGACAAGCCATGAAAAACACTATGTATCGTCCGTTTTAGAAGTTAAATTCGCTTAAGCTATAGTTATAATGAAATATAGCAACCTTACCTTGGAATTACGGCGCCTCCATGTGTTAACAGGTGGCCTTCGCAACAAGTCTAGCGGCGTCCTACAGGTCGGGGGCGTGCGGCGACGGCGGCGGTCCGGCGGCGACACGCGGCCAAAACTCGCCAGACGCAAGCGCGGCCTGCCTTCTTTCCCCCATCGATTTTCAATGTACGCTGCCTAAGGCGCGGTATTTACTAATGCAGAGAACTGCCGGTCCCTCATTCCTTAGGTTTTCCTCAATTCGCAGGATAGCTAACCAATATTGCCACCTCGAATAGCTTATAAGATCTTTATGAACGTTTATTTAATTTTAGATGGAACGACTTCTCTTTAATTCCACCATGAAAAAATGGTAAAGCAAGACACAACAAAGTCTATGATATCTTCGCGTAAATAATTTATGATTTCGCCCTGTTTTAATAAGACGTATCTACATTTAAATGTTATTTTATTGTAAAATGTAGTCTATAGATAGAAAAGAAAATACACAATCGTTTTAGGACAGTATGGTATATCAAAGCGCGAGCCAGAGCGACACAAGAAACTTTCCTTATATTATTCCGCATAATCGCGAATTTATATCTAGTATGAGATTAATTTTCATCATATAGGCTTATCTAGTTTGACCTTATTCTTACTTTATTTTGACCTTATTAAAACACTTGTACTAGAGTGAAATGTCATTATATGATCTCTACGTACCTGCTCAGAAAGAAAGCATGATACAACTATAAATAAGTAAAAAATAGTTTACTTGGAGTTAGATTCGGGTGCAGTCCCGTACCACCAAATTTTCATTCTTTCTTTCATAATTACTAATAAAATAGTTTTTAAATATTAAACAGAGTTTGAAGTCTTGAACAGGTTGTGTACAGTGCGTTTTCCATTTATACGATACGGTAAAATTAAAAGTAAATCCCATAACACATGTTTACCTACTAAAATTTTTTAGGCTATAGGTATAGCAAATGCAAATAAAACTCATATGCTGTGAAAACTTCTACTACCTATTACGGTTCAAGAACATTACAGATACGGACGGACGGACACCGTAAGGTTAGTAAAAACGTTCTGACCCGACCTTTTGGGTCGAAGCCTTAATAATGAAAGTGAAAATTATAATCTACTAGAGACTCACCCTCGCTTCGCTCGGGTTCGTCCCTAGGTTGCTTCCCCATACAAACTTTCATACCCATTTTCACCCCCTTAACAAAAAATATCTTTATAATATTAGTATAGACAAGTAGTAGGCAAATGACAAATAACAAAAATATAATAAAAACGCTGCTTTCAATTGCTATATTTTTTATTTTAAAATAACTGATGCGCGTAGCCATACTCATGTACACTTCAGTTCTTCAAAGCCTTGACGGTTTAAACGCTACCAAAACAGAAAAAAAGCAATAAGTTTTAAAAAAATCATATTCGTCAACATGTGTAGGTTTATCTCTAGAGTATTTTATACAAAAACAAGAAATCAGCAATATTAATATTATTATCAAGAGAAATATAAAGTCTACCTCCAAAATGTGTTAATAAAATATTTGTATGTTCCTTCGTGATAACCTACTAAACGTCTTAACCGATTTAATTATTCATACGTCGTTAGATTCGTCTTAATAGCACGAGTATCATAGGGTATATAGATATCCTTTTAAAATCATAATGATGGTCCCAGGCGCCACAGAAAGTATTAAGCAGTCGGAGTTTTTTTTAAATGGCTTTTTAGTTTTTACGCAGTCGGGCTTTTTTATTTATTTTTAAATAAGTTATTTATTTTCAATAGGAAAAAATAATAATTAAAGTAACGTAAAATAGTGACAGAACATTTATAAAACTCGAGCTTTTTACCACTATTTATTCACGCGTTTTTTAATCTATCTCGTCTCTTTACTGATTGATATATTCCACTAGTGAGTTATAACACATTTTCAAATTTAATTTTAAATTAATAAACCTTATGCTATAAAACCTTTCATGTCCTATCCTACGAGGTCTCTGTATACTAAAACTGAAATTTAATTACATCAACACTTACGCATATCAACGAAACATGTTTTAATAATCACAAAATTTCTATAAAAACTTGTATCAACGTATCATTCAACAAAATTTATATTGTTGTAGGTTACTCCTGTAGACCGATTATTAATTTATAGCTTTAATTCCACATTAAAGTTATCAAATTTCAAAATTACCGATCAATCTCATTCGTGTCTTCCTCACAAAACGTGACACTGGCAGAATTTATGAAGGTAATTTTTGACATATATTTGTTTGTGGTTATTTTTAAATTTTTATCAACGATACGAATATAATAATTATTGAATCCACTAAAGAAAGAAAATTATACAATTATTGAATATTATGATAATATTTTGTGAATTGTCATTATGTAATTAGCAATCAAATATGACAATAACAAAACATAACTACGCGCCCTTTGGTTCAAATGTTAATCGCTTTGGAAGAATAACTGTTCATCCAAGATTAGATCCAAGCGGACTATATGCGAAACGACCATCAGCCTGTGACCCATGTTTTTATCATCCAAAATCGATAGATGAAGTTTTTCAAATGAATAAGAAAAAAAAAGTTAACAAAGATCCATGGAGATACAAATCGGAGTTAGAGGATTGGGCAAGAAACTTAGGATATAGGAATCAGAAAGTTTTAAAACAAAAAAAGTGGTTCAATTCTATTTTAGGACCAGCATGGCATGAAGTGTTAGAGGCACCCGAGTGCTCGCGTTTTTGTAAAAATCTTGGTTTTGGTAGAACTCCACGCTTCAAGCCTTCTAAGAATGAACTACCAGGCCCTGGTACATATTACAAATCTTGTCCTTTTAAAACTAAATATGGCCCTCATTCAACAAGGCCTACCTTCGAAAGGGAAGAACCCTGCCGTTTTAAAGATATGTCGCCGAAATGGTCACTGGCAGCCAATCGTTACACAATTATAGATAAAAATAGCATAGAGGAAAAATCCAAAAAAATTGTATCACTACGAGGACCTTATGATCTTTTCACTGGAAAACGTGATGGTAGTACCATAAAAAATCATTTCAATACATCATTAAAGTGTTCTGCCGCTACGTGGCCTATTGCACTAAAAAGCACTTTGGATAAATACACAAAGTCCCGCTTTGGTGAAATGAATAAAACGAATCGAGATTTACCACATAGAGGGCGAAACATTTTAACAGATTTATCCATGTGTCCGCGAAAGCCCGCGGATCCCGGACCAGCACATTATAATCCAGATAAAAGGAAAGTATTTACGCAGAACAAATGGGGTTTCAATAGTAGCTACGACAAACCGCCAGGTTACAAACGCGTGATTGTATGGCCAGGTGTCGGACGATACAGTGTAAAAAGTATAAGTTGCGGTATTATTGGACAAGGTCATCGCCACGTTTTCCTTAGTAAACAACAAAGAACTATTGGAGCTATTTTACCAGAACCTATGAATTCGTTTTAAATTTACTCTATATGACATTGTTAAGTCATATAAAAGAAAAAAGCACTGGAGATATAAATATGAATAATTATAAAGTTACTGTGCATTGTTATTTCACCTATTCATAAAATAGTGTCATTGTCTTTTGTATTAATCTATGCTAATATTATAAAGAGGTTGTCAGTTTGTTGGTTTGTGTGTTTGTGACGTTGTAGGGGGTAGGTAATCTTTGGATCTACTGAACCGATTTAGATGAAATTTGGTAAGAAGATAGTTCGAGACCCTGGGAAGGACATAGGATATATTTTTATCCGGAAATCATCTTTTAAGGGGGTGAAAATGGAGATGAAAGTTTGTATTGGGAATCAAGCTAGGGACGAACCCGAGCAAAGCGAGGGTGAGTCGCTAGTTAAAAATATATCTAGTAATATAATCTACCTACAGTACAAAAATATATTTAATTATTCATAGATGTAGATTAAGAGGATTTTGAAGCTGTAAATTTTCATACAAAAAGCGATAATTTTTTTCCCCATCCATCCATAAACATAGTCAAATTTTCATAATTTTTAGAAATGTTGTAGATATTATAATGAAGTACTAAGTCCATAAGTTTTAATTTTAAAGAAATATTACGTACGATAGAAGTTATTAGCATCTAAATATCTATATTTCCTAGAGCATTTTTATTTTTTTTAATTAATCTTAACTGAATGACTAAAAAATAAAAAATCCGGACAGGCGCGAGTCCGGCTCGCCCACCGAGGGTTCCGTACAATTTGTAGGTAATCTGTTAAATTTTAATTTGCAGTCTTTTTTGTTTTTTGGATTTTTTCCTTTATTTGTGCTGGAAGACCTTGCCTTTTTACAAATTTCGTGATTCTAAGTGAACGGGACTCAGGGCCATGATTTTTATACACCTAATAGGGATATAGACCTTAGTATCTGGTATTTTCAACTTGCTAGGTCCACCTGTTCCTGAGAAAATCGGTAGTGACACACAGACAGACAGACGGACAAGAGAGTGATCTTATAAGGATTTCTTTGTTTACCTTTTGAGGTACGGAACTCTAAAAACGTACAGACCTAAATTAAGGCGTAGGTACTGAACTAAATATTTAGGGGGTTGAAAACGTTTTCGCCCAAAACAATATTTCAAAAATAGGTAGATTATTGCCTCTAAGACTTGCAACTATCGCACCATACGGGTTGGCAAACCGAGCGTTATGAAACAGATAGCATTTTTAAAAAACCTAATCGCGCCGAGTATCAAATTTCACAATCCTACAATAACCTTCATATTTCTATCATCACTTTATTTACCGGCGGTAGGATTTGACACATTCTTACTTTGTATGGAGCTTAACGTCAAACGTTTATCTCATATAGTAATATCCGCCGTAAGACGCTTTCCATTTGATCTTTAACTATTATAAACTATCTCTTGTAGTTGATTTCACACAATATTTTGGATTCTATTACCTTGAAACATCCCTAAAGTCTAGTGTAGTAATTTTGTTAAGTTTGATTCTTTCTACTAAATTAAATATTTCTTTTGGACTTCCCGATATCTCGGTAATATTGCAAATCTGGCCACGGTACACGTTTATGGTAAATAGCCATTTATCTTTCCACTTTCTTATATTTTTGGTACGTTTTTATATAATAAAATTCTGAATCGAGTTTGTACATTAAATATTTTTTGAATAATCTTATTGAAACAGTCATTATTATCGATACAGAGGCTGATTTTTGTCTGTCTGTGCCTGTGACCGCATCACGAGAAAACCACTGGACAGATTTTGATGAAATTTGGTATGATGATAACTGGTTATCCGGGTCGATGTATACGATAGGATACCTTTTACTGCGAGAAAATATCACATCTCTGAGAAATCTATATTAAACGTTAAATCGTAACTATAGGGACCAAACCGAGCGGGGCGAAGGTGTCGTTAGAAGTAACAATTTTTCATTATTTAATTATAAAACCACTATTGGAATTACAGATATTGATCTCGATATGAAACTGACCTTGCCCAACCCGTAATTTTCCTTAGCTAGAATAGGTACGAACCCAAGTAGTGAATCTATAATTTATAAACTGACTTATCTACTCAATGTGTTTGAATACATTAATTACCGATTTCCGATAAAATTCGATTTAAATTTCATTTCACTTTACACTTTGTAAATATTATACCGAAACTTAGTCTTAGTAAGCATAAAAAATTCATTACCTTTTTTATCATAAAAATATGAGAAAATATAAATAATATAAAAATCAAACAAACAATTTAATATTTTTTCTGCTGTAAATGTCAGTTAAATATGTGTAAAACTAGCGTTATACATATTTTTTAGCGGTTTTAAGTTTTTTGCGCGGAATCCTAATCCTTTTTCTTAAATAAAAGTAGCCTAAGTTACTCCTTGTAGCATCAGCTACCTGCCAATGAAAGCCCCGTCAAAGTCGGTCCAGCTGTTTCGCAGATTAGCCGGAACAAACAGACAGACAAAAATGTTACTTTTTTATTATATAAGTACCATATATACTTTCATATGCATTTTGACATTACAAACAGACCCTTCAATTTATTTATCTGTATAGATTCTTAAAATGAACGCGATAATTACATACTATCGTATACAGATCATAGTCACTATCGAAGCGATGATACTGAAGACGTCTGAAATTTTTATTTAATAATAATAAATTTAGTTTAACTAGATAGGTGGTAATATTAATTGACGAATATATCTTTTTGTTTGTAATATATTCTTTATTAACTTTTTAAAAGATAATAAATACCACTTCTTACCTTACCTTACAAGAAAGAGTTCTGGCACATTTTTACCCAAAGAATCGGCGTTGCGATTCAATGGAGAAATGTAGCTAGTAATCTTAAACACAGTACCATGAATACATCGACTTGTGGACTAATTATATTATTATACATTATGTGGCATATGGAATATATTATTATAGATCTATATATCTATATATTATTATATACCTGATAGACCTGAAGTAGTAGTTTTCATAACATTTAATATATGTATTATAATATATTCATCGGATCTAAGATAGATTAAGAAACATAGGTAGGTCAAAAAACAATTTCTATTATTATTTCTAACTAACACTAACACCTATGACATCAGACTACAGTGTTCGATACTTAGTATAAGTTTTATTTACTATATTATAGTAAGAACTAGAAATACCTTAATTATTCCTAAAAACAGTATAATATATCATGAATTGATACAATTTATAATATTTATAGATATCCTTTTGAAAACTTTGAAGTGATATTGTCGGTGCAATATTTAAATAAATTTGTTCTACACATCAACAACGACACTAATCTTATTTAATTTTGTGTTATTTTAAATACAAAATTAAAACTTAACTAACCCTATAGAATGGTATAATTTCTAGATGAGATGAAGGTGATTTAGAAATGAAACTATCAAATTAAATGGCCATTTTTATTGAGGAACAAATCTAAAAGCATTCAATAAACAACGATTATCATTATTTCCTTTTATAAACATTTTAATATCAAAAACAAATACGTGAATAGATAATAATTTAGTTTTGCTCCCCAATTTTCTATTTTTTTTCTTTATTGTAATATGCCGGCAATTAAATACTATTACATATTTTACACAATTACTATACGAAGGACGCAGTAAGAAAATCACATCCATATATTTATTTAGTATACTATTAAAATGAGGAGATTCTTATAAATAAAATATTTATTTTAATTAACATGATGATGTTCTCCTAGCCGATTCCGGCCACGGCGGCCAATCTCAATGAGATTAGCCAACTGCGCAGGAGATATTATAGTGCTCAAGTGTACGCGCAGACACAAGTGCACTCTCTATTCCTATCACTCTCATACTCCGGTGGGACGACCACTCGACACGACCGGTGAGAGTTAAGGCGCAGGACCGACGGCTTTACGTGCTCTCCGAGGCACGGGGGTGAAACATCGCCAACTTCCCAACTCCGGGCTGTTACTGAGACTTACTATACAGGAAGACTCAATAACTAATCTTGGCCCGACCCGGGACTCGAACCCAGGACCTCCGGGTGTGCAGCCGTACATGCTAGCCACTACACCACCGAGGCAGTTAATTATATATATCTTAATTAACATATCAGTACTTTTAATGCTGAATGTACATTGTCTGCCTCGGTGGTCTAGTGGCTAGTATTGTACGGCCACAGATACGATGGTCCTGGGTTCGATACCCGGTGTCTGCTCATATACTGACACGCGCTGCACTATATTATCTCCTGCGCAGATGGCTAGTCTCAGCGAGATTGGTCGCCGTGGCCGAAACCGATCGTGAGAATATTATTACATATTACATTTGTCTAAAAGAACTTTTGTTACAACATATTACATATACTTGATTCTAAAGATTTAATTACATTGCAAAACAAAAAGTAAATGTCTAGAAAAGAATCTCCTCATACCTTCTAAACAAATATTAACATGGCAAAATGCAACCACGCAGATTAACATAATAACCGAAGCTTAACTATTGCCGCACTGCAACTATTGTTATTTCTACGAATACGAGTAAAAAAATAAAACATCACAAATTTAAAAGAATGTTCCTTGTTATAACAATAAAGACCTATTTGCAATCTTACATAATTACAAGCATACATGTCTTTTGGGTAAAGACTATTAAATTACCACTCACAAATAATAATTTTATTTATGAATAATAAATCTAACTAGAGTACGAGGTAAGTTTTTGCCTAAACACAGAAAACAAACCAAATTATTATTAAATAAACAAAAATCCTATTTACAAGATGAAAAAAATTCGTGATTTATTAATCAATATTTCATACGGGAAGATTCGAAGTTAATATTACGAATCTATCTAATAATATGTGAATATCGAAAATTGCCCAACTTTTTTTAAGTAATTAACAAAAGACAGAAAATGAAATCTAAAGGTACGCAACCGTAGCAGTTATTTAAGGA